TGGAAAGTGAGTTGGGGTAAAAAAAATCTTTCAATTTAGAGAAATGGTTCAGAAAGCCATTAGCATAGTGGTGAAAAGTATGACCTAGCTATGTGGCCTAACTTAATTTCTCTTTGCCTCAGTTTCACCACCTGAGAAAAATGGAGATAGGAATAATGAACAAGACTGTTATGAGAAGTTTGAGTTAATATCTATAAACCACTCAGAACAATGCCTGGGATACTGTGAGTGCAATGTAAGTGTTTGTTAAACCAAACAATGATAAGAACATGAAAATGCACAGAATGGCCTGTTAGGAAAACTTTAAAGATGGGCAAGGTGGCTTTCTAGGAACACAAGCTGGAAAGCTACTGGGCTCATCTGTCCATACAACAACTTGTACCCTTCTCATGTGCAAGGTAAAGTGCTGTAGCCATGAAGAAAGGTGACTCACATTTGGAATGATCGAGATAGACCTAAAGGAGAAGGAGCCCCAGTTGAGACTAAAAATACCACAGATAACATGACACCCCTTCCTATGGGCTTCTACAGAATTCCCTACTTATTTCACAGCATATTAGGTACCTGTTACTGGTATGGAAGTGTCTGCCCAAACAGAGTTCCCTAAAGGTGGAGACAGAGTCTTGTTCACTGTGGAATTCCCCTCCTACAGTGCCAGTAAGAACAACATGCTACAGTCAAGTCACAGTTGAGTAATAAGATTAGATCTATAACGACTGAGCACTTAGAATCTGGGCCCTTAGGGATCCCCACCCCACTTTTAACCCTCCATCCTGCTCTAAGTAGCTCAATGTTAATGTGTGAGAAGGGACACTGTGATCCCAAGAACATAGCCCTATGAATAAAATCCTAGTCTTTTCTGTAGTGGTGGCTTAAAACTACCTAATAGTGAAACCAGCCAAGAAGCCTTCTGCTTACGGACTTCCTCCAGCGACACTTCCCAGTCCATTCACAAACACCTCCATGCTGCCACAAACAAAACTCACCAGCTCTGCAAATGAGCAGAATTTTTCTTCCTTCTCTCTACAGCTATCCATCTTCCAAATTCTCTTCTGTGGGTTCTTCGAGAATATCTCTGTCATACATCCCTCTCACTAATCTCTCAGCCACCACTTCAAGAATCACACTTGGATTACCACTGTAGTATCTTACTGTGAATCTGCCTACATACCACTGAAAGATAAAGCTTCCTAAAATACAAGTTTTATCACATTTCTTTCCTGTTCATGATCTAGGTTGCTTATTTTTTACTTTTACCTAATCTACTTTGTTTATCAAGAACCTCCATACTTTGGTCCTATTCTATCATACTTCCTACCAAAGCTTCTGAACTCATTCTGTGAGATTAGCGTTACTCTGATACCAAAAGCAGAGAAAGATAATACACACACACACACACACACACACGCACACACACACACATTATAGGCCAATATTCCTGATGAATATAGATGTAAAAATTATCAACAAAATATTAGCAAACTGAATCCAATAAGACATTAGAAGGATCATAGACCATGATCAAGTGGGATTTATTCCAGTAATGCAAAGTAAGTTCCATCTGCAAAGCATTCAATGTAATATACTACATCAACAGAATGAAAAATAAAAATCATATGATCACCTTAATAAATGTAGAAAAGCATTTGACAAAATTCAATATTCATTTACAAAACTCTTAACAAAGGGGTATAGAGGAAATGTACCTCATCATGATAGAAGCCATATATGACAAACCCAAATCTAACATCATACACAACAGTCAAAAACTAAAAAGTAGATAGCTTTTCCTCTAAGATCAGAATCAAGGGTGCCTGGCTGGCTCAGTCAATAGAGTATGTGACTCCTGATCTCAGGGGTGTGAGAGTTTGAGCCCTACACTGGTGTGTGGAAATGCTTAAAAATAAGATCTTAAAAAAAAATTGCCTAAGGTCAGAATTAAGAAAACAATGCTCATTCTAGGGACACCTGGGTGGCTCAGCAGTTGAGCATCTGCCTTCGGCTCAGGGCATGATCCCAGGATCCGGGATCAAGTCCCACATTGGTCTCCCTGTGGGGAGCCTGCTTTTCCTTCTGCCTGTGTCTCTGCCTCTCTCTCTCTCTCTGTGTCTCTCATGAATAAATAAATAAATATTTTAAAAAAACCCAGAATGCTCATTCTAGCTGCTTTTATTCAACATAGTACTAGACGCGCTAGGCACAGCAATTAGGAAAGAAAAAGAAATAAAAAGTCATACAAATTGGACCAGAAGAAGTAGAATTGTTCCTATTTGCAAATGACATTATACTACATATAGAAAACTCTAAAGACTCCACTGAAAACTGTTAGAACTAATAAATGAATTCAGTAAAGATGCAGGACACAAAACTAATGTATAAAAATCTGTTGCATTTTCATACACTAATAACAAACTATCAGAAATAGAATTTAAGAAAACAATTCCATTTATAATCACATCAAAAAGAAGAAAATACCCAATAATAAATTTACCAAGAGGGTGATAAATCTGTAGACTGAAAACTATATTGGTGAAAAAACTGAAGAAGATACAAATAAATGGAAAGTTATTCTATGCTCATGGATTAGGAGAATTAGCATTGTTAAAATGTCCATAACTACTCAAAGAAATCTCCAGATTCAGTTCAAATCCTATCAAAATTCCAATGACATTTTTCACAAAACTAGAGCAAATAATTCTAAAATGCATATGGAACCACAAAAGAACATAATGCTCAAAATAATCTTGGAAAAGAAGAACAAAGCTGGATGAATAATGCTCCTGGATTTCAAACTATACTTCAAAGCTATAGAAATCAAGGCAGCATGGTATCAGTATTAAAATAGACACATAGACCAATAGAACAGAATACAGAGTCCAGAAATAAACCCACACACATCTCGTCAACTAATTTATAACAAAGGAGGCAAGAATATATAATGGAGAAAGAAAAGACTCTTCAACAACTGGTGTTGAGAAAATTGGACAGCTACCTGCACAAGAATAAAACTGGAGCACTGTCTTATGACACCACACATAATAATTAACCCAATATGGACTAAAGACTCAAATGTGGGACCTGAAGTTATAATACTCCGAGATGAAAACGTGGGCAGTAAGTTCCTTGATGTCAGCCTTAACAGTTTTTTCTGGCTCTGACTCAAGGGGCAAGGGAAACAAAAACAAAAATAAACAAATGGGACTGCATCAAACTACAAAGCTTCTTCTGCACAGCAAAGGAAACCATCAACAAGATGGAAAGGCAACCAATGAATGTGAGAAGATATTTGTAAGTCATATATCCAATAAGGGGTTAATACTGAAAATACATAAAGAACTTGTACAGTTTAATGACAGAAACACCCAAACAATCTAATTAAAGAATGGCAAAGGATCTAAGTGGACATTTTTTCCAAAGAAGACACAGAGATGACTATTAGGCACATGAAAAAATGCTAAGCATCAGGGAAATGCCAATCAAAAACACAATGAAATATCACCTTAGACATGTCAGAATGGCTATTATCAGAAAGACAAGAAGTAACAAATGTTGGCTAGGACGTGCAGCAAAGAGAACACTCAGGTACTGTTGGTGGGAATGTAAGTTGGTGGAGCTACAATGGAAGACAGTATGGAAGTTCCTCAAAAAATAAAAAAAAAATAGAACCAATATATTATCCAGCAATTTCCACTTCTGGGTATTTATCCAAAGAGAACAAAAATGCTAATTTGAAAAGATGTATGTGCTCCTATATTCACTGTAGCATCATGTACAATAACCAAGATATGAAAATAATCTAAATGCCCATTGGTAGATGAATGGATAAAGAAGACGTGGTGCGCGCGCGTACACACACACACACACACACACACACACACACACACACACACTGGAATACTACTCAGCCATAAAAAATGAAATCTTGACATCTGCAATAACATGGTAGACTTCGAAGGCATTATGCTAAGTGCAATAAATAGGATAGAGAAAGACAAATATTGCATGATTTCATTTATATGTGGAATCAAAACAAAACAAAACAAAATCCCCAGATTCATAGATACAGAGAACAGTTTGGCAGTTGCTAGAGGGGAGGAGGGTTAGGGTGATAGGGATGAAGGGGTTTAAGAGGTACAACCTTGCAGTTACAAAATAAGTAAGTCATGGCGGATGCAATGTACAACATGGGGGATAAAGTCAATGATACTGTATTAACTTTGGAAGGTGACAGATGGTAACTAGATTTATAGTAGTAACTGTTTCCGCAACATATAGGAATGTCAAATCACTATTGTACTAGTATAATATTATAACTAATATAACATTGTATGTCAATTATTCCTCAGTGAAAATAATATGAACACTAAGTGTCTATGAAAGGGGTCAGGATGCTCATCTTACTGACCCAAATATGTCCGCTGAGGATGAGGGTGAAGGAAATGGCTCTGAAAAGGCTCCATCTGGCATGAGATGAGAAGATTCTACTGCCATCAGCTTCAGATTTTGGTGTTTCATCAACTCAATAAAAAAGGCACGTGCCAATGACAACTAGATGTGGACTGTAGGCTACTCCACATTACCAGTCTGATGCCAAAATGCTTTACACAGTCCACCTAACAGATGGTAATGTATTTCAGCCATTACCAATGCAAGTAGGATTCAAACCAGTGACCCCAGGGGTGAGAGGTTGTATATCCAATTACAAATTCCCACTTTCCTTAAGTGTTAAGATGCCTAAAGCAATATATTTTATTTACATCAAGTTACATTGTATAAACTATATTTGATAAAAGAGATGACTTTACGTTCTCAACTTAAATCAAAGAATGCTTACTTAAGTATTTTTTTAATTGAATCACACTTTAATGCCATCGTATAATCTTTTGGTTAACAGTGCTCATCTTGATTATTCTAACAAAGGGAAACATGGAGATTAATACTTAAGTTGTAGAGCTTATGTCATCTATAAAATTACATGTTAGAAAATTCAGAAGAGATACCTGGGACATCTGTGAAGGTTTCTCCAAGGACAGACACGTGGAAATTGAGTCCTAAATCCTTAAGGTGCATTAATACCTTAAAAAAACTCTCCGGATCTTTATCATGCTCCCTGGAAATAAACACACAAAATATAACTTGTGAAACCTTAGGGTATGTGTTAGAAACAATGTTTTCACTTTTCACAGCATCAATTCCTTTCCTGGTCTATTGCTAGTTAAGGGAGCCTCTGGCATGGGAGCAGAGATTTCTCCCTATAACCTTAAATTGTAGCATCCGCATTGAGTGATTTCATGAATGTAACTTCTCTCTCATGAATCAAAACCCAGTTCTATTGAAATCTTAAGACTCTGCAGCCTTTTATTAAAGGAGACATCTATCTTGTTTTTCACATTTTTTTGGTTAGACTATAGAAAGTCTAGTGTATTTTCCTTTCTCCTAAAATGGTTAATTTTCCACTTAACACGGGTTTTTAACAAAAGAAAAGACCAGTCTTCAAAGGACGATTCTCTACTGATCATGAGAATGTACCAAAGATGTTTTTCATTTTCGTGGGTCTGAATACCTTCCTCTCACATTTACTGAGCCCTTTTGTGCCCACAAGGAACGCACAATTTAGGGAGCCAGATTACAGACTCTCTCACTAATCTCTCATTTTAAATAATTGAATGGAGAATTATAAATACATCAAAAGGGGGTAGGCCTGAGTCTAAGTCCGCTGAGTATTAACTCAGGAGTGGAGGTTAGTCAACTCATAAAAGAATAGTAATAAAGATAATTCTTTCATTTAGTAGAAGCTTTGAAAAACATGGATTATTTTTGTTTGTTTAGCTTGTCAGTCTTCTGTATAGTGACAGAATGAGAGGCTAAAGGACACTAAAATAAAAAAAAATCATCAATTCAAGAAATCATATTAAAATGAAATGAGTTATTTTTTACATTGTAAGGTGTGAATATTTCAGTATTTTTTGCATTTAATTGCACTGTTTTAAATTATCTTATTTCAGACAGATGTGGACCAGATGTCTTCTAAATATTTGTTTTTTTATTTATAATTCAGAATTTTAACTTATTTTTTATATTACAGAGAAATAGTTATATATCAGCAATTGAATTTCTCATTTACCAACTAATTATGTAAAATAAATCTGTAAATTGATCAAACTGCTATATGAAATATGAAAATTACATCATTCAGGAAATCTCATGAAAAATGACATCTGCAACCCTAAATGTGTTAATTCACAATTCAGTCAATATTTTCAGTATCAAGAATTAAAAACAAATGCATCTTCTGATTAACATTTTAAAACGGCACTTATCATCTTATGGAATTATAAGATCTTACAGAATTTGAGTTCTCTAACAACTTATTTTAAGCTCGGTATCTCTTGATTTGATTTACTTCAAATAATAAAGAATGCAATGGCGACATGTTGATCGCTTTTTAAAATGATGCATATTATATACACGTACCATTGGGAAGTTTTTGGATAGTTCTCATATATACTGTATATGCTGTGGGCAAGAACAAAGACTCAAAACAGTTTGAAACTAAAGAATACACCATATGCTATCTGCAACCATATCAATCAAATAGCTGCCACCTAATCTGTAATATGTTCTTTTAGCCTGATTCTCTGGGAAGTGCTTAGATGAAAAGAATGGAAACAATATAACATAATATATCTTAAAGAGAGAGTAAGACCATAGGGAAATCTAGCCACTCTATTCTCTAAATTTTTCATTTTGAGTTCCAAAAATTTTGGCTATAGATCCTCAAGAGAATATTTATCTTAAACATTTCCTGCTGTTTTGTTTGTTTGTTTATTTTGTATTAAACTTAAAATAAATGTGGTTTGGGGTTGGGAGGAGATTTAACTGGGTAGAAGCTGTAGTTCTTAAAAGATTCCAATATGAGTGTTTTCAAGGCAGCAGGCTTAATGAACCTGTATTTTCAGTGTTTCTGTACCAGATAAATGCATTACAATCCTACTGCATCCTTTTGATTTTTAAAAAATGTTTTTATTCAATTTACTTAAATGAAAAATAAAGCAGTTCAACCATTTCTTTAGATATTTTTATAGGTGGACAAAAGCTTTCATATTCAACAGTCACTTTGCATATGAACACAAAAGAGATTTGTATGAATCTCTCTCTTGTTTAAGCTATAATATATGGATGAATGTAAAGTGAGATTTTTCTTCCCCAAAATTATCCCTCAGGAAAAAGAGGCATTTTATACTAAAGTCCTTCTGACGTCTCTCGTAATACTGGGCATTCTCTCAATTACTTTATTTTGAACAAAGCACTGTTTAGGGAAGTTGCATTCACCTGAAACAACACCTAGTGGTGACAGTTTTGGACAGTGGGAGCAGTCATTCACTCGATGGGACTGGTAAAAAACAGAAGCAAAGAAATTTAATATTGACTTAGTAATTATTTTGAGAGACATGACCTAACAGTTCAAAGTGTTGGATGTTGTTGAAAACAAGTATTTCAAGGATCACACACACACACACACACACACACACACACACACACACACACAAAGTAATAGAATAGTGGTTATTGGAGATCATGAGTAGTAAGTGGGTTTTTATAGCTAAGGAAAAGATTTCCAGTGATGACAGTTTCCCAAGTCTTGCACCTCAAGCAGCTTAGACAGGGTTCCAGATGACAGGTGCTGGAAACATGCCAGCTTCCTGAAAAGATGGCACCCACCATACTGATGTCAGGAATGCACGGAAGGGGGAGTTGGGCTGAAACTGCTTCATGAAATTTAAGGGTGGGAAAAGAGCAATACTTCTAAAATTATTTTACATGATATGCACTTTAAAGTACTATTTATGTCTAAATTAGTAGATCATATATAAGTAGATACTTTATTTCATCCATGTCCCTCAAAGTTAGTCAATTTTGCTCAAGTTTTTTTTTCTGTTTCCTCTTTAGAAAAAGGAGAAATTGGGATCCCTGGGTGGCGCAGCGGTTTGGCGCCTGCCTTTGGCCCAGGGCGCGATCCTGGAGACCTGGGATCGAATCCCACATCGGGCTCCCGGTGCATGGAGCCTGCTTCTCCCTCTGCCTATGTCTCTGCCTGTTTCTCTTTCTCTCTCTGTGACTATCATAAATAAATAAAAAAAATTAAAAAATGAAAAAAAAAAAAAGAAAAAGGAGAAATTTCCTAGCATTCAGATGATCTTTAGAAGCTGTGTACAGATATTTAGCCACAGCCATATATCAATGAAAAGATGAAAAGAATGCCATATATCAAGGCACGAATGACAGTCAATGGCAGAGCTCAATATATTCTGCTGAGTGAGGAGCACATTCCAAATATCCATATGGGTCATCCACGGAATTTATCCCAGCATTCATGATATTAACGAACCCATTTAGCAGAGTACATGAATCTGTCTTAAATTTCTTTCTAAGAAATCTAATGCGATTTATGATTATCGCATTATTTATGATTTTAGCACAAAGCATTAAAAATAGGATACAGGATTAAAATAACATAGTGCCCCCTTTCCCCATAGCTAGGAAGCTTAGGCACACATTTAATAATACACTCAAGTCTTTATAACCATACTTGTAGATTTACCGGCTCCTAAACACTCTTTTGATCTTATCCATTGTAGGGATGTAAAGTGAAACAGTGTTTTAGAAGGCAATTTGGTAATATGCATAATAGGCATTGAGAGTGTAGATGCCTTTTGCACCAGTAATTTAGAAACGTTACCCTATCAAATATAAAGAGGTGTCTAGAAATCCAGGTAGAGGATGTTCATAACAGCATTGCTTGTAGTAGCAGCCATCTGTAAACAACCTAGAGGGATGATAAAGGAATATATCTGGATACATAGGCAATACCACATTGCATTGAAAATAATGCAACAGACCCTGGTTGGCTCAGTCGGTGGAGCATGTGACTCATGATCTTGGGGCTGCGAGTTCAAGCCCCGCAACAGATGTAGAGATTACTTGAAAATAAAATATTAAAAAAAAATAATGCTGGGGATTTCTGGGTGGCTCAGCGGTTTAGCACTGCCTTCAGCCCAGGGCCTGATCCTGGAGACCCGGGATCGAGTCCCACGTCAGGCTCCCTGTATGGAGCCTGCTTCTCCCTCTGCCTGTGTCTCTGCCTCTCTCTCTCTCTCTCTCTATCATGAATAAATAAATAAATCTTTAAAAAAATAAAAAAATAATGCTATAGAAGTATACTTCTTGACATGGAAAACCGAGAAATACTGTTAAGTAAAAGGAAAATGACAGAGTACTACTTATCATATGACCGGCTTTTATAAGACAAAGGGGTATGTGTGCCTAGAAAAAAGTCGCGATGAACTACACTGAAATGTTAACAGGGGTTTGTTGTTTTTAGGTTTCTCTCCCTCCTCCTCTCCACCCCATGTTTTCTATTGTTTAGCAAAGATTTTTTTCAATATGGATCATTTTTAATGCTTTTAAGGAATATCTACTCCCCCCTCCCAAACATTTTGCCATAAAATCATATTCATAGGATCTCTGGCTAACTTTGTACCATTTCCAGTATGTATAGCAGCATGATTCCTACTTTCTTGTGACGCCTCTACATTTGATAGCTGCCCATTGATCACAAAACATTCTTGAAGATGAGTCAAAACCCAAGCTTCCCACAATCCCTTCACTCTTGAATAGGTAAGAATGAAACAGTCTGGCTGGGAACGAGTTCCTCAAGCAGCCCAACTATGGCAGAAGCGACCAGCACGGAAATATTTCAGTCTTACTGGAAGCAGCAGATATAGCAAGAACAGCTTTTATTCCCAAATATTATTCAGAACATTTGAAAAGCATAAACTGTTTCCATGTGTTTTTTCTTCCTATATCTGTTCTCTCTCTGTTGCCTTTCCCGTTTAGTTTTGTAGAGCTAAATTTCTTCTTATTCCTCATTTAACATTCGTTCAGTAAATATTTATTGAGGATTTCTAAGTTCTCCATACTTGTCACTTACACTAAACTGTTACCCTTTCCTATTTTCCCAGATAACTTTATACTTACGGAATGCAATCTCTTTGATCTAGTTCCTCACATCCCCTGGGCAGAAACCTGGCTCTTTACCCATGCTATTGT